TTTGCCGCTGAGCTAAATCCCCAGCCCCAGTTTTAACGTTTAGTGAGCTTAATTTCTGGATAATTTCTTTTGAAGTGAAAATTAAGTGTCATGTATTTTTGCTTTTTTACCATGTAATCTAAGCAAAAGTTCCATAAGGAGAAATATTTTTTCCCATGTTTGGTCTTTTTCTTCTTTTGTGCAAGCGCTTAAGGCATATGCTTGGTTGAAATTGCTCGTTTCCAGCCTTGTATATCTAACCTAAGTGTAATCATGTATGCCTCATAGATTTTTAAATCTTTTAAGTTTTTTAGCATTTTATCTGTTGCACCTGCTAAAAATTACTTCTGTTTGTAACAGAGTAAATACATCATGGAAAAGAGAAACAAATTAAAACTTAATATTTTGGTTATTGAAATTATTTATGTTGCTAAGTAGATACCAGACAAGACAAACTTACACGATGACTATAGGAATATTGTTTTGAAGTTTCATTTACATATAATTATTTTGTGTTCTTATTTTTAGAAGAGATTATTTCACAAGAAAATGTGTCATAAATTCTCTTTGCACTGTAGAATGATTTAGTGATATCCATTAGTCATGAATTTTGAGGAAAAAGGAAAATACATGATATAAAATAAATATATAAAATTCTTATGCACAAATAGTGTGACATTCTCATTTGATTAAATTAGGATTATATAACGAGATCTTAAAATTATTTTATATCTTCCATATATCACATATAAATGCCCAAAATATATATCTTTCAAATTTCAGATTTTCAATCTATGAAATTATCAATTACCAGTCCTATCAGAGTGCTGAATTTTTTTCATAAATGTATAAATGCTTTTACCCTTAACTTTTGGTTTTTACAATTTTTTTTATCATGGTGCTTAACTTCTTATAAGTGCCGTATCCAGAAACTTAGCTGTAAGTTTAGAAAGAACTTTTGTTTTCTTTTTTTGTTCTTAAAAATAATCCATGGCCAGTGATATAGCTCAGAGGCACAGCACCTGCCTGGCAAGTGCAAGGTCCTGAGTTCAATTCCTAGTACAAAAAAAAAAAAAAAAAATCCAGTCCTACTATTAATAGGATTTATATTATTAACACATTGGTTATAAGAATCTATCAGTTCAATTGAAAATCTGCAGAATTATTTAAGTTGCCAAAATATGGAATATAGAACCTTCATTCTGAAAGATACTTCATTTTACAGTCACAATAAAAAATCTGAATAGTTTAGAGAATTTTCAAAAAATGAAGCCCTTTGGTCATTAACTGGTGGTATACATTTTTCAGGATCTTGTTCTGCTATAATATGGTGCTTTGCACAAGTGATTTCTGAAAAATGGTTCCTTTTAATGATTTATAATCATTGTGTCATGTTACTTACACAAAGAATCTTATTTGAGAGTGAAACTGGAACTCCTTGTTTCTCATATTAGCTAATTCTCTCTTAGGGGCACTAAAGCTCTGATAAATGCATTGTGAGCTGCTCTAGTACTGTTTGTTTGAAATTCTTGTTGTCCATGTATTATGATTTATTGACTTGTTGATGCATGTAAACTGGGTGCATTTTGTTGCCGCTGTATGTTAAATGGTGACCAATGTTTTTACAAAAGAACTGAACAAAAAATCTTCTAAGAAATTTGGAATGTGGTTTTGATTGTAATGTTTGACTTTTTTTACTAATCTCAGAGGGCCTTGGCCATTCTGTTGCTAAGGGAAATTAGGTTTAATAAATGGAGATTTGTTACAAGGTGGTAGCACTGTCACTGGGCCAGTGAATGGATCTGTTTGCTGAAATTCACACTTGATGTAGAACCTTACAGGCTATGAGTGAAAAATGAGTTCACCAAAAACAAAACAAAAATGGCTGTTTACAGGAGAGCTATCTAAGCCACTCATAGAATAATGTCTCATTTACTTTATTCTGTTTCTCTAGAAGGTAAACTCTGAAGGAAATGAAAGGGTTTTTTTTTTAACCAAAAGATTGCATCAAGTTTGAAGTTAAACTACCTAATTTTAAAATTATGTTTTCTTGGCATTTGACATGGTATATTGGGTATAGTCGGACCTTTTTCTTGTGGTCAGGTGGCTTCTTCATGGACTGTTGTGTGCTGTGCTGCACTCAGTACCTTGGCAATCTAGTTTTTACGGTTTTTCATTGTTTCTTTTTTGCTGCTCTTGTTTCTGGCTACTATTTCATTTCTTTCGTCTGCTTCTTTCTCAGTTGTATGAACTAGAAAGTAGATAACCAGTCTCGGCATCAGTTATTTAGAAATACTGGAAAATAAACTATGGAGCCTAAGTGAGATGAGGACAGTAACAATAGTAATGATATTTGCTCGGTGGTGTAAACACTCCTTGCTATGTACTGTGGTATTTTCACATATCGCCACATTTAATCACTTTAATAACGCTGCTGGTGCTATTATCGTCTCTTTCATAGATAAATTGAGGCATGGACAGTTTATTTTTCCCCTAGTGTTACTAATAAGTGGTCTGGAATCCAACTTTGTCCAAGTGTGAGGCTGTGTTCTTTACTATGCAATAGGAACATCAGCTGCATGGACTTTTTAAGGTCTGTTCTCTGTTTAGTTTGCTTTATTCCTTCAGATTCAATGAGTTATTTTCTCATCTGTAGCCCAGGGGAATTGTACTTATAGCCTAAAAATTTGTTTAGCAAATTCTGTGATTTTGAATGCGTACATGTGCTAGGCACTAATATCCCTGTCTTCATGGGGAAAGAAAACACAGAAAAACAAGGATGTACTTAGTTTTTGTTGTGTTTTAATGTTGGGTGGTAAGTTTAGAGGCAATAAATGAACAAGATAAGGTGGGTAGGAAGTGCTAGAGGTCAAAGTGGGGCTGGTGAGGGACGACCTGAAGAAGCAAAAGCATCAGCAATACAGATACCAGTGATGAGAAGGATCGCTGGGTTCTAAGGAAACTGATGTTTAGAAAATCTCAGATATATGGAGTGTTTCACTTTGGGAGGTGCTGTAAATGTTTCCTTACTTTATATTGCTAATGTTGTGTGGGTATGCCTGAAGATTACTAATTAAATGTTATGATTAACACTCCTTGGCTATTTGGTGATAGCAGTAGAAGCAACTGGTCCAGAAGCATGGAAAAGTGATCTTGGAATTTGAAGTTGTGGATAACGCATCAGAAAATAACCTAGGGTTTGTTGTGTGCTCATAATGAAATCTTATTCACATTGCTTGTTTTTACCAAACCAATAAATGCTACTGGCATATGAATTATAAGTAACTGAAACTAGTTTTTTCTTTTCTGACATATAGAAATGGACTAGTAATTAAAACAGGGACATGTAACATTTCAGTTTTGAAGGTGCAGGACTTTTTGAGTCTACTGATCTTATAGTCTTCCCGACAGTTACATGAAATACATGTTTTGTATTGGTGTTCAAATGAAATTTTATGACATCCAATATGTGAGTGCTTTTGACATGTTTACATAAATTTATGAGTGAAGTTTGAGCAAACTTTCATTGGTATGAAAATTTTAAAAGTAGATTAGGAATCTTGTAGATAACTCCAAAGCAAACTTTTTGTGTAAGTGACGAAACGCAAGATCAATGACGGAAGTGTTCCAGGGACTACTTTTGGGAGCAACTGGGAGAAACCCTCAAAAATGACAAAGCAAATTTCTAGAGAGTTGTGAAATGCAGTAAAGACTTGGTATTTGCTGCCAATGTGAAAGCCTTATTTTGTGTAATGTTTTTAAAGTGCGTATGTAGATGTTATACATAAATGAGGTTTAAAGAACTTTTTAAAAAAAATAGGTAATTAGAATTAAGTTTCTGTCTTTCTTGCGTACAAACCAGATTAGTACCACCACTCTCCTCTACAGCATGTCAGCTCCTCTCCTCCTTGGGGTGTTGGAAATAGCTTTTAGAATGTATTTTATGTCCTGTGCTGTTTTTTTACAGGCATGTGAATTTTTTCTTCCCCACCCCTACTTGGGAGGAGAACAATTCTAAATTAATTGAGTTTATTCTTTTATGGTTAGCAGCTGTGACTGTTCTTTCATCCACATTAGCCCAAGCAAAGAGCTCACATTTCATAAGAAAAACATCTGAGTGTGTTTTAAAAGTAAGCTTCACAAAGAACGAGCTCAGTCTGCCTTTCTACCTTCCCTGTGTTTGATATGCCTGTAGAGCGCCTGGCACATAGTAGATGTTCAGTGGTTACTGGTTCAATGGATGTTTGTTACTGTCCACATCACTATTACTTTCTTGTCAGAGACTTGAATTTTGACTTGACTTTCAGCCCATTCTGTATCAGCACTAAAACATTACTTCTTCCTCTGTCACTTTCTGTTGTACTTCTGAACTTTGTCACATTTTGCTTCAGGCAGGTTCACTGATGTACTACCGGTTCTCTAGACCACTGTTTATAACATCAGATGCTCAATGAGAAATAAAATATGTACATATACTCTTTTCTTTAAAAGCAGTTACCAAGGAAACAAATGTTGCTTGGTTTGACATGGTTAATAATAAGTCTTTGTAAACTTGTGCTGGGTCCTAATGGTTACCACTTTACTTTCTATTTAATGTTTTAACTTTTCCCCTGAGGATTAACATAAGTATGTTGATCTGCAGTTTTTAGAATGTCTCTGTCCTCTCTCTCTTATCTTAACATTGTGTTGTTTGCCCAGCTTGGGCTTAATGTTACTTTTACTGCTCTCCTCACGCCTCAGGAGAACAGCTTGTGATTATGTTTCATTAGCATCAAAAACCAAAGGTGTTTTAAACTTTCTTGCCGCAAAACCACTTTTCTGAGAACAATATTAAGGCCCCCAAAGAGCTTTAGTATCTGAGGTTATATAAATGTTTACTATATTAAAAATGAAAACTGGCAAACTATAAAAATTA